TTGTTGGTTGGGCTGGTTGAGGACCTTTTTGAGGACAGTCATGGTGTATGGGTACTATGGAGCTGGCAGTTAGCATCCTGCGGGTGCGCATGTTTTCGGCCAGTTGGGACTCACAAAAAAGCCTCCACCATCGTCAACAACCTGGAATTCAGCACTAGCACCTTCTACAAGTCGTTGGGAGGGATTCAACAAGCATCTCTTTTGCCTTTTGATCTCAGGCTCACCTATGATGCCGCGGGGTGGCAAACCAAAGGCCCAGCCCATAACCACTTGGACTAGATTTGTCGTCAATGTCAGCCATAGAAGCATGCTTGTGAAGTTTGCGAACAGCATGGTTGGGCGCGCCCAACGCAGGAGGGTATATATTTTAATGAGAGGATGGTGGAGGGGAAGAAGCAGAACAACATTTTACAGCAGTGCCGGCAGACCGGCGTGCCTCGGAGGAAGCACACAAGTCGCCGTCTATCACATGGCAGTGAAATATCAATCAGTGGGAGGCGCCTGTCAACCCCAACATTTGATGAGGAACTGCGGCGCTTGATATACGCATTCAGCCACCGCCGAGGTTATGTCGGTGTGGCTGAGAAGCTTGCAAAGCACAAAATTTGTATAGACTGCAGGCTTTGGTCCAACTCCGCTCGGCGGGATGCACGCTGAGCGTTCTGCCATGAGCAGAGCATTTACAATTCGGTCGTGCTCAGGGGGTTATAAAGTCGACCGCCTCTAGCCAGTGACTTGCTCTCAACCCCCACCCCTACTTGCCCCTCCATCCCAGGCGTCGTGCTTCACTACTCTGCCGCTGCTCTGCCGTGTAACATCGTGACCCTCGTGGGTCTTGCCCACAAGTAAGCGTTCCTCACCAAGCAACGAGCTCAAACCGACATCTTCTATCAGTGTGCCCAGCCAGGCGCTTTCGATGCGCACGACGGCCCTCTCAGCATCCAGCGGCTCTCAGAGAGGTCTATCTATGTCTAGTCTATCAATTCCCGTGATTTTAACCTTCCCCACAGGTAGCTAGCTTCGCAGAAGTCCTCAAGAAGTACATAGGTCGTCGAGCTCGATGCTCCTGTCCTGGCGCTACGGCGTCCGCGCGAGTCAGGGACAGGGTGCGAGCTCACAGGACTGTGCGAGGCAACCATATCACGAACACGCCCGGTACTTGCGCTGCGCTCTCACCAGTCGAGGATGGACCGGGCACTCGCGCTTGACGTGAGCAATTTGAGAGGGCTGGCCTAGGATTTGCCACCGTTGCAACCAGCAAGTCCCTCGCTTATTTCCGACTATCCCTCCCCGGCACCCCTACGACATTAGCGTTGTGATCGTAGACTACAGACTCTTGTGAATCAATCCTCGAAATGCATTGTTTCCCCCAGTAATATCACATCCCCGAACCATTGTCATGAGCTCAAGTACCAAGTCATGGTTTGCGCATGAGTATCAGCGAGCACACAAAAAGAAGTGACACCAGCGTGATTCGAACACGCGCCAGCAAACGCTGAACGCAAATAAACCCGAAATGAGCAAGCTTGTCGCTTGAGTGCGTCCCCTTAGACCAACTCGGGCATAGTGCCTTGATTCGCACGGTCCGAGCTATGCTTATGTCCGTTGAGGCGATCTTGGACATATATGGACAGCCCGTGCTATGCATGCTTCTCAGCCACACCGGCACGACCTCGGCGGCTAAATGCATATATCCAGCGCCACCCACAGTTCGACATCAAATGTGGTTGACGGGTTTGTCGTACTCTTACGGGCGCCTCCCACTGGTTGATATTGCACTGCCATGCGATAGACAGCGACTTGTGTGCTTCCTCCGAGGCACGCCGGCCTGCTGGCGCTACTGTAAACTGTTGTGCTGCTTCTTCCCCACCGCCACCCTCTCATTAAAATCTATACCCCCTCTGCCCGTTGAGCACGCCGAACCATGCTTTTCGCAAAATTCACAAGCATGCTTCTATGGCTGACATTGACGACAAATCTAGTTCAAGTGGTTATGGGCTGGGCATTTGTGCCACCCCGCGGTATCGTAGGTGAGCCTGAGATTGAAAGGGAAGAGAAATGCTTTTTGAACCCCCCCCTCCCACCGACCTGTAGAGGGCGCTAATGCCGAGTTCCGAGTTGTTGACGATGGTGGAGGCTTTTTTGTGAGTCCCAACTGGCCGAAAACATGCGCACCCGCAGGATGCTAACTGCCAGCTCCATAGTACCCATACACCATGACTGTCATCAAAAAGGTCCTCAACCAGCCCAACCAACAAATCGGCCTTGTATACACTAATTCGACCCCATTCTACTGGTCAGTAAGTTTTGCTGCTTCACTATTTCAGCTCGCTGGATAAAGCCCCATATACAGGTACTGCAACCAACCTGCAGGGACGGTTCTTGAATTTCGCTTGGTTAGCAAAGCCAACGTCAACGTGGCCTCCAGCGGTTATAACATGACTGTGCAGGTGAGCCGAACCCTAATTCTTTGGTGCTACACGGCGAGCGGATCCGGTGTCACCCTACTCAGTCAGATGCTGGGGCTCTTGCGTCGAGCATAAGCGTTCAATCAGTGGCGGTACGCTCGGGGTTGATTGATCAAGAGCGGCTCTAAGCTGTTTGTTCTGTACCCAGTCGATGGTTTCGTTGTTCTCGCGCACGGCAACCAGCCAAGCAACTCCAACGGGGACCTACGGCTACCCTTGGGCAACTAGTGTGAGTTGCTCAGAATCATGCACCAGTTCAAGTTGACGAGCTTTTCAAGACGCCCGTAGGAGGCGGGTCTGAGATGTCGTGGGTGAAAGACTAGGGCAAAACTGAACACAACTGATACATATTCCCAAGCAGGGACACAAAAGAGGTTTCGGCTAGTGTGGTCGTTGGAGTTGTGCGTGTCCCCGCTTCTTCTCCGAGACCCCGGCTAATGGTAACCTGCAGGGTATAGCTGGAGCTCTGCTCCTGATCACACTGTTGTTCATTCTGTGGTGGGTATACCGTCGCGGGAATCCCAAAAGCACGCAAGAGCCAGCCCACCCCAGCGATAACATTATGTCTTTCATGCAGAACCAGCCCCACCAATTCGTTCCCCCCGCTGGCTACGTGAGCGCATACACGCACTCCTACCAGGATCCTCCTCAATACCCACCACCTCCCGAGCCAACGAGTACGTCTAGCGCAACAAACTATTCAAGTACTCATGCAAGTACCGGCGCATTCTCGGGGCCGGTGGTAACGGCCGGGATGCCGGAAAGGGACAATCGTCGCGGACCTGTTCGGAATGAGAAGCGGAGACGTCCTTCTGGGGGCGTCGTGCGGCGCTAAGTGTTTTCGACTCGTTGATACTCGGTTCCTTGTTGTCTTCGTGAACTCGCCTATAGTATTTACTTCACCTTTGATTTCTGGGCATGTAAAATTCATCATATAGTACCTAAAATACTTCAGCCGTGTGCCCTTAACTACTCTCTTCTTCAGTGCGAATCCCCACTAGCTCCTTGCCCTCTTCGACCATTTCCCCAGCCGCACATCCCATATTCTCCACCGCCCCACCGATAGAAGCACGCAACACCGTTTCTGTCTTCATGCTCTCTAGCACAACAACAATGTCCCCTTTCTTCACCACATCTCCAACTTTCACCTTGACCTCGACGACCACACTCGGCATCGGCGCACGTATCGAGCCTCCCCCGACGCTCTTGGCCAAATCGTTCCCAAGCGACAGGAGCCATTTGGGTGGAGAGATGCTAAGAACTGTCTTGGCGCCCCCGTGGAAGACGTGCAGACGCTCTGGGGCAGTGTTTAATCCAGTTCCGGCGGGTGGTTGCGGGACGATGGTCGTTCGGTATAGCGCATTGTCCAGCGCACATTCGATAATAGTGGAGCTCCCAGCGCCGAGTCGTGCTGAAATGTTCTCAAAGGTGCGGTTCGTGGTAGGTGTGACGATCCTGACCGTGTATTTGCCTGGAGAGAGGGATGTGACGGTAGCTTCAAGGGGTGCATCGGCTAGGCTTTCGTGGTGGAATAAGACCCGTCGTTCGTGGAGCTCACCACCGAAGCGCCGTGTCGAAAGCGTTGCCCATGGGGAGGTGTTGCCTAGAGGTGGGATTACTGGCTGATCTCGGAGGGCGACGAACAAGGCTGCTTGAGCTAGGAGCTCGGGTACAGGCTCGACGATTGGTGGGAACAATTCATCGTTATGTTTCTGTCAAGAACGTGAGATTGTGAAGAACCAGGTGGGCTTAGCACACTCGCCTTGATAAACCCAGTCTCAACATCTCCTTCGATAAACGCTTTATTGCTCGCCAAGGCATGTAGAAACTCGATGTTAGTGCTGAGCCCTACAACATGATACTCTTCGAGCGCCTTGCGGAGTACTCGAAGAGCCTCGGTGCGGTCCCTGCCATGAACAACCAACTTGGCAATAAGAGGATCATAGAAAACTTCGATCTGAGAGCCCGCCTCGAATCCATCTTCGAGTCGCACAGACTCTGAAGGTGCTGGCGTCGTTAGGTGAAGTAAAGGTCCGACGTCGGGCATAAAGTTGTTGCGCGGATTCTCCGCATATATCCTAGCACTATCGTTATTTAAGTAGCCCATGATTCCGTATAATCACTAACCGTGCTTCAAACGCATGGCCAATGCGAGGGATCTCGTGTTGTTGTAACGGGAGTGGGTTACCAGAGGCGACCTACGTCATAATTGTGAGTGAATTGGATAAACAGTTAATACGCCTCGTACCTCTAGCTGCCATTGCACTAGATCTTGCTGGGTAATCATTTCTGTAATGGGGTGCTGTACCCTCGACGTTAACGCAAGATCCTTGGGATGAGCACATCACTGACCTCTACTTGTAATCGAGTATTCATCTCCATAAAATAGAATTGTTGGGTGTCGTTATCGAATATAAACTCGACCTACCCCAGTTTAGTACAGTCCATGAAACGCAAAGATATGAACGTACAGTTCCAGCGCCAACATAGCCCACTGCTTTGGCGGCCGCCACAGCTTTCTCTCCCAGTTCCTGACGAATGTCCTCGCCAAGTCCAGGCGCGGGTGCCTCTTCAATAATCTTCTGGTGTCTTCGCTGGACCGAACAGTCACGCTCCCAAAGATACACGACTTCTCCCTTCATGTCGCCAAATACCTGTACTTCGACGTGCCGAGGTCTCTCGATGTACTTTTCCACCAACACCCTCGAATCACCAAACGACTTGGTCGCCTCGCGTTGAGCAGAGGCAAGAGCGTCCTCGAAGTCGTCTGCGGCGTATACAATCTTCATCCCCTTGCCTCCGCCACCAAGAACGGCTTTGATAAGAACAGGAAATCCGATGCTCTTGGCTTCTTGCAAAAGTTTGGCGGGTGATTGGTCTGTTCCGTGGTATCCCGGTACGCAAGGCACCCCCGCACGCGTCATGATGTCTTTGGACTCAGACTTGGATGCCATCGCGACGATAGCAGGCGCAGGAGGGCCAATAAAAATTAGTCCAGCATCGGCAAGTTGCCGAGCAAAGATGGCGTTTTCGGACAGGAACCCGTATCTGCGAGAGTTGATAGTATTGTAGGTGGACGTATCGTGTATGCTTACCCTGGGTGAATAGCCTGCGCTCCACTCCGTTTTGCAACCTCGATTATCTTGTCCATTCGCAAATAGCTTTCGGATGAAGGGGCGGGCCCGATGCAATAGGCCTCGTCAGCCTATGCGATAAGGTGCAGTGAGTATTTCTGTTTAAAGTCGTAAATCAAAGCTGGCCATACCATCTTTACATGTAAAGCCTCCCTATCGACCTCACTGTAGACTGCGACCGTCTTAATACCCAGCTTCCGCGCGGTTCGAATGACCCGGCAAGCAATCTCTCCTCTAGTTCATCTGAGTATATCGCGTGCAACCGAGCTTGTTTGTCGTACCTGTTGGCAATCAGAATTTTGTCGAACAGAGGCTTCGCCGTTCCAAGTTTTTTGGTACTGCCAGAGGGAGCGACTAAATACCGAGGTGAATACCAGTACATCGCACTGATTTACTACTCGCCTGTCGCGATACCATGGGCTATGCCTAGCCCCCCGTGGCGCCTCGCCAATCCCATAGACCTGCTTTGGATCGGACGAGGATACGCGGCTGCGTTGATACTCCTCGGAGACTCGACGACCAACGCAGCCAAAGTCGACTTGCGCGCGACTTGTCGCAATACGCTCGAGGTTGCATTTTTAGAGGTCGGAATCATAGCTAAGACTGAGAACTAGGAGAGCACACGAAAGCAAAATGCCTTCCCTGGGTTTGGTTTTGTACTCGGGTCGAGATCCGTTCCGGGTGAGCGGGTGGTGATGTCGACGTCACATGATGTGTCGGGAAGTGTTTGGTTTCATTTGCACCGATGCATACAGTCCAAGCTTCTGGTTCGGGATCTCGATTCCGAGCATTTTGGAGAAAATCTCTTATCTCAAGGTTTGGTGCCTCGAAGTATAACCCTCAGGGCAAGAAGGACTTGGGTATTGCTCCTTTCGGTTCGCACAGCATTTAGGACGGGGTAACTGATAGTCACAATCTGGCTGAGTGACCGGCATGTACCTGGTCAAGCCTAGAACATGCTGGCGGGTA